AGCCTATGTTCAGAGAAATGAGTCACGGCAGGGAGGAGCAGGCAGAGATTACCAGTCCAGGTAGGTTAAGTCCCCAGGGGAGGAGCCATGTGAGACAACCTGGGAACTCAGATTGATATGGATGCCAAGGGGTTAGGGACATGCCCCAAAACTGAGGGGTTGAGAGCTCAGGGGCCTCCTAGAAGGCACCAGCAGCATCAGTATGGAACCTGATTAATGCTGAGCCTTTCTGGGCCCCAGTGTGCTCCTCCATAAAATGTACTGGGTGAACTCTAGGGCCCAGCCCTAGGATCCAGGATGCTGGGCAGAGCCAGGGCAGAACTAAGGCCATGCTTAGGCAAAGCTCACAAGAGCCAGGTTGGACTGGACATCAGTAGCAGCCTGGGTGGGCCCAGGAATCCCCTGTGGCACTGCAGGAAGAATGTGGCCTGGGGTGGACTGTTTCTCCAAGAGGCATACAGGGAACACCCCAGACTTGTGCTGCTCCCAGCCTTTCCACAACGTGGGGGCTGTGCTTCAGCAGAGAGGGTGTCGAGAGACCAACCAGCAGAGGTGATGAAGGTTCAAGCAGGTCCAGAGGGTGGGAGTTGCCTGGGTGAACGCAGGGTGATGTCAGAGTGGGATGTTGAGCAATTCCCCCAGCATCAGGAAAAGAGCTATAACCTGCAGAAAGGGAGGACTGATCCTTCTCCTTCAGGAAGGTCTTTGGGATCCTGACCAGACTTTGGCTTTAGCTGGGCCTCAAGAAATATCAGGCAGGATTTATCACTATTAATAATAACTAGCACATGACTGAGTAAAGAACTGAAACTCAGCTGACCAAGTGACCGTAAGGGTCCTTAAGAGAGAAGTAAGGGGTTTGGCGAAGAAAGGAGGGTGACAGGAAGAGAAATAGGCATGTACTTACATTGAGATTTCAGCATATTCTACCACCACCCCACCACCCTACTCTCACTCCCTTGGTTACGGCAAACTTCTAGCTGGCCAGCCTGCCACAGATACTATCACTTGCTCCGAGGTACAAATACCATCCAAATTCTTCCTGTATTAGACATTTCTTCAAACCTTGACCCCCACTGTTGTAGGAAAAAAACCACCTCCTCTACAACAAGTGTTTTGAATTTCCTTTTTTACCTCTTCATAACCTGACATATGTCCACATCTGCCTTACTCTCTGGGATGCTTTAGTGCCCCAAACTTCTAATAAAGGAGTTGTAACTGGATATGGATTTTACTCTCTTCCTCCTGCAGTTCCTCCAATGACTTCCTCACAGAGCCAGCTTAAAGATACTAAACCAAGGTGTCCAAAAATCAGAACGAAGCCAAAACCCATCCAATGACTAATCTGAATCATGACTATTCTGATGTGAGGCCAACTTTATAGTCTCCAAGAATCCTCAGCTGAAGGGCTTCGGCCCCCACAGCTGGCACAGGGCAAGTAGAACTGGCAATCTTGATTTCTGCTGAGGATGACCATTAAAGGGGTTCCAATAGTCTCTGAACTGTGAATAAATAAAGATTTTTTGAGATAATGAAGAATGAATGAATGAAGATTTTTATACGATAAAATAGATATCTTCTTTCCAGGATTTAATTCAAACCTAAAACTTAGAACCTTTTTCAAAGTTTGATTCTGATACAATCTCACTTGCCTTGACAAGCAAGAGAAAATGAAAATATTCTATCAAAAACATGGAGGTAAATCAAGAAAACAAGGCCACATTGCCAAACTTGGAAAGTAAATGAGACTAGGTTCCAGTACATGCTCAGCTACTCTGATGCCGTCCTCTGTTCCCCGGGGGCACCCTCCATGGTGGGGAGCAGTCAAGTCAACACATCGCCTTGTCAAAACTCATCCATTCTGTGAGTGGAGATCAAGCATATTTCAAAATGGCCATGAGCTAGGGACACTAAAATTGTAACTGGAAAGGCTGAGAGACCTAATACACTAAATAAGTCAAAGGGGTGGACCTCACATACGATTTTGGGCAGCTGGGAGGTATTTTGAGACAACTCCTGATGTGAATCTCCTGTCCTAAAAAGGCAAAGGTGTTGGTCGCTCAGTTGTGTCTGACTCTTTGTGACCCCATGGACTGTAGCTCACCAGGCTTCTCTGTCCGTGGGATTCCCCAGGCAAGAATACTGGAGTGGGTTTCCATTCCCTTCTCCAGGGGGTCTTCCCAACCCAGGAATCGAACCCAGGTCTCCTGTATTGTAGGCTGATTCTTTACAAACTGAGCTATCAGGGAATGAAATTCTAATTGGCAGATTTGTTTCTCCAGTTAACCCTCTTCACTGGGCTTTAGCATTGATTGCTCCACCATAAATTAACCTACTGACCAAGGACATCAAAGAAAGTGCTATTTGCATTCCAAATTCTTGTGGCCAAAAGTCACTGAAACTTACAGCTTTCTATGCTACTATGCAACACATAGAGGTGGATGGAACTAGTTTTAAAGGGTTTTTACAGCCAGATGAAGTAAATCTGCAGAAAGGCTGGCGAACAGCTTGCCAAATTTCAGCTTGGGACAATGTCATTATCTTTAATTTACCAACCTAGCAATGGGTTTACAACAGAATTTCTTAGTGATGGCTTCTCAGGAGGCAACCACGGCAGCTGGCACACACCTACCTCACCCCACCTCTGCAGTGGACTGCTATGCCCAAGTTCTGGCCACTGAAAAACACGATCTGTGAGGACAGAAGCCTAATGGGCTTGCTCCCATAGGAATGCTCAGAGGCAACTGAATTACCTTCCCCGAGCCAAGCCAGGAGCCCCAGACTTGAGCCAGAAAGCAGTGACTGTTAGACGTTGGAAAGAAAGCAAAGAGGAAAGCAACAGTGCCTTCATTATATGCTGTAACTGCAATCACCTTTCCCTATAAGCATCTTCCTGTTTCCCTGGAGGGGCACTGTTTAACTGCCACTGCTGCAGAGGTGCCGACTCAGCAGAGAGCACTTCCTGTGGGTCTGGACAGCAGTCGAGTGTGGCGGGATGTGGCCTGCCCACTGACCCAGGAGCAGGCTGCCAGGGGGCCACCATCCTGACAGAGGCCTGGCAATGGGGGCACAAGACTGAGGCTCCTGGGTTAAGGGGTGATGCTGATTTCCTTTTCTCAGAGTCAGACTAGGGTGAAGCAGAAGGGGTGTCTAGGGCATAAGATTGAAGGAGGTTTTCACTCTCATGCAAGTGGCTCTTTCACCCTGGTCCTAGCCCTGTGCAGAGCCACCAGTAGAGGTGGGGGGGGGGGAGGTGTAAGGTGAGTGGTTCTCAAAGTGTGATCTCCTGACCAGCAACATCACCTGAATACTTACTAGGTATTGAAATTCTCAGCACCCTTCCAGACCCACAGATTTTGAAACTCAGAGGTGGGGCGCAGCAATCTGTGTTTTAATACCACCACCACCCCCTGCCCCCCACCGACCCCAGATAATTCTGATGCAGCTAAAGCACTGTGCTAGAGAATAATGTTTTCCAAAGCCTGCTGTGTGGCCCAGGCCACTGCTCAACATGCTTCACACACAATCAGAACAGGAAAAGGAGTAGGGTGATGAGATTAAAGGGATTTCCCTAAGGCAATCAGCAAGGTAGAAATTCCTCAAATAATAAATCAGGAATTGATTTTTTTCCCAGCTATCCTTAAGTACTCGGTACTGAAGCCTTAGCAAGTGTTTGCAATAAATAACGTTTACTACTGAGTAGCTTCCTCCTGTTTCTTCCCTGATCTAGTCAGTTCAGAGTTGGCTACTGACTGATTACCTTGGTACGTGGGCCAGTCATCTGAATATTCTGAGATTCCCTCCTCTAGAAACTGGGGTTAATATCACCTCCCCGCCAACATCAGAGAAGCTAATATATGCAAAGCCCCAAGGAGAAGCCTGAAGCAGAAAAGCTGTGATGACAGTTTATACATCCTGAGCAGGGATTGTGGGCCCCCACCTTCTCCAGGGAGGTTAGATAATCTGGGGGCCTGAAGACAACTGAGAGGGGAAGGAGATTAACTGATCTCTTTTATGCTGCGGTGTTTTTTAAAGGAGGCTATTTCCCAGTCCCGGTGACCTAGGACATCAGGCTTCTGATTGGGGTTGCACAAGCAAAAGAAAGGAAAGAAGTAGAAATACATTTACTAAATAAATAAAGGGCAAAAAGCTGTATCACATTTAAGATCCCACATTGAAACTTTGTCACTAGAACCCAAACAGTGTGAGCGGTGAGGCAACGACCAATGCAAGCCAGCTGAGTGACCTCAGACACACAGCCATAGACTTGGTTTCCTCTTTTGCCAAGTGCTGAATTATAAACCAACAATAATATGAGGATGATGTCATGCAACAAAACGCTGTCAAGCACAACACAAATGTGAGGGTCACACTGAGGTCCCATCACAGAGGAACAGCACCGCTGTTTCTGCAGGATGAAAGGAAAACTTATCTCACCCAACTCGCCCAGCTCACAAAGGTGTCTACTGAGGACGAGAGAGCCTGTTGACCTGCAGAGGGCACCCAGCTGGTGGGAGACTGGCATCAGCTGTGTCCCCTTTCTCCCTTTCATTAGGGAGTATCAGGGAGGGGCGAAATCTCAGCCCTTCTCGCCAAGGGCCAGGTAAATAAAGGAGGCCCCACCAGCCCCCATCTCTTCACTGGCCATTCATGCAGCACAGCTGAGAACTGGAAAGATGATTCACGACACCCTTTCTCCCGAGAGTATGTAACTCCAAGATAATAACGTTATCCATGTGAAAGGGCTTCCCTTGTGGCTCTCTGGTAAAGAATCCGCCTGCAACGCAGGAGACCTGGGTTTGATCTCTGGGTTGGGCAAATCCCCTGGAGAAGGGAAAGGCTACGCACTCCAGTATTCTGGTCTAGAGAATCCCATGGACTATATAGTTCATGGGGTCACAAAGAGTCGGACACAACTGAGCAGCTTTCACTTTCACGCAAAAGAGCCGCCCGGCAAAAAGGAAACTTCAGGCTGGGTCCCTGTGCACCGAGCCCCTCACCTTCCTCATTTAAAATCCACGGCAGGAACTCGAACACCGATTCAAAGCCGCAGGTGCTCTCCTCGAAGGTGCAGGACCCCGCGGGCAGGTCCAGGGCACCGGCAAGCTGCAGGGCTGTGGGTACAAAGCGGGTTTCAGTTCGGGCTGGGTCTCGTTAGCAGCAACTCGGGGCACCCCGGGGAACCACCTGGTGAAAGTGGAGGAAGGCGTTCGAGAAGGGGCGGGAGAGGGAAGCGCTGCTGCCGCCCCCGCCCCGGCAGCTTCCACTGCAGGACTGTGCGCAGCCGCTGGGCTGGGGAGGGAAGTTAACGGCTGCTGAGACGCTGTCCGTAGGCACCCTTAGATGGCCCAGCCCAGGACCGCAAGCTGGACTACCAGGGCTGCAGGATTGGGAGAGGGTGGCGAGAGCGCCCCGCGGGGATGGCCCCCGAGTCCAGGCTTACCTTGCACTCCCAGGAGGACGCCCCTGAGCAGCATGGTCGGGGAGGAGGACTGGACCGAGGAACGAACCGCCAGCTCGCCGGGACAGGCTGCTCCGGGTGGAAGGAGCGTGGGAAGCAGGGGCACCTCGAACCAGGGGAGGGAGAAATCAGAGGCAAAGCGCGCTCGAAGCTGCCCAACTTTGCAACGCAGCTCGGGAGCCGAATGGAGAGCTGAAGGTGCCTGAACTGGGAAGCGGCGCTTGCTGAGCTGCAGCCGCGAGCCAGCTCGCGTCCCAAATGAAGCCGGCCTCACAGCTGGTCCTGCGCTAGGATGGGGCTGGGCGGGGAGGAGACAACGGCACACGTTTGAAAAGCCAGCCAGGACTGGCTGGGACAGGAGAGGTCGGGAGGCAGTGACACGGTTGGGATTCTTAACGCTTGGTACCAGACCCCTGTCAGCCACTGGGGAGGGCAGGCGCCCCAGGAGCCCCTCGGGATGAGTTGGGGCTGGAGGCGCCCCGCCCCTCCCATCCGCAGGGGGAACCAGCTTATTTCTGGGTACAGCCTCTCTCTATCTGGAATGCCGGTCCCGCAGGGCTGGCCTAATTTTAACCTTTTTTCCTCAGGATGGAAAAGGGTGGAATTCTCTTAGGAAAACCTAGAGGAAAATTTGGAAAGTGTTGTGTTGAGTGGAGTAAGGTTTATATCTATCTAGGAGTTCAGCATTTATGGCCCGTTAATGTTAACCTTGGAATACCCACCCCCCCATACGTATACACACTTTTATTTAGCCGTGGAATGTCTGGCATGCCTGGTGCTCAGCATTGCCTCGGTCCCTAAAATGGGGGCATTCCTCCTCTCCAAAGAGCCATGATAAATTAGTAGGAAGTTTCTAAATTGGGACGTGAGAGATGGGGGTTACTCCCTCCCTAATACCCACTGGCTACACATTTCCTTTAAGCACTAAGTGGGTCTTTAAAATATTTTTTTCCAGTAAAGAAAGTGGTGGTGGTGGGGTGAGGGTCTTCTTAATGCTGTTGATAATGTTGGGCATGCAACTGTATGGCTAGGGCAATGCTTCTTAAATCTTAAAGTATATCAGAAACCCAGCATCAGAGTTTCTGATTCAATAGATTAAGCTTAGGGGGCAAAATTCTGCACATTCCTCACGAGTTTCTATGTGTGGACACTGCTAGTCTGGGACCACACTTTGAAGACCACTGGCCTAACAAACTCTTTTTTAACCGCCAGAGCCCTGCTCACATGCCTTCACTTGGTTTCCAGACTGTCCTTGTTCTTTGGTCTTTGTGCTATTTCTTTCTTCCTCTCTCTGACTCCTTGGATATTATTAGGTTGCCTCCAACCAAGTTCTGTTATTTCAACTCCTGTTGCCTTCTCTCCTCACTTCCTCAGTGATTTCATCCAGTCTCATAGTTTGAAACACCACCTATAGCCTGATATCTCCCCAACAGACATTTCTAGTCCAGATGGCCCACTAACTCCCCTGCACCTTCCTCATCTCAGTTGAAGGAACCTTTCTCCTTCAGTTGCTCAGAAAAAATATTTAAGAGTTATCCTTGACTCTTCTCTTCTTCTCAGGACATTACCAAATTCTGTCAGTTTAGGATTCAAAACGTAGTAGGTACTGACCATTCTCCATTCCCAAGGTGACTGAAGCTGCCACTGCTGTTTGCCAGGGATGCTACAGTAGCTTCTGAAAGGTGGTCTTTTTGCTTCTTCCGCCTCGCGCACCTCCATTCCATTTTTAACACAGTTGTCAGGGCATCCCTTTAATACAGCAATTGGGCCATGTCACTCCTTGGCCCCAGACTCCTAACAATTCCATCAATTACTTAGCAAACCCCAAACTCTTCACAGTGGCCACCAGGTCTATAGAACCCGTCCCCACCCCTTCATATCTCTAACTTCATCTGCCATGCTTAGTCCCCTGTAGCGACATGAATCTCCTGGCTGGTCATTAAACACAGTCTAGCTGTCCTCTCAGAATTTCGCACTGGCTATTCCCTCCATTTGAAATCTCTTCCTGGGAGAGCCACATGACTCACACCTGCACAACCTCAAGGTCTTGACTCAGATGTCACCAGGAGAAGAAAACTTAAAAGCCTTCTAATAAGAAAATCCCTTTTAAAATATGTTTAGACAAGTTTTTTTTCTTTGTTTGTTTTGAGTTTTCTGTAGGCAGTGACATAAATGATCTAAGATTTGCTTAGTGTGTGTATTTATATGCTTTATGTCAGGAAGTAACTAATAATAATAAATTATAGTTATCATGCTTACTAGCATAAACATTTTAGATAGATAATCTTATCTAATTTTCTCAAAAACTCTATGGGGGTATGCATCATTATTATCACCATTAATAGATGAGGAAACTGAGGTGCAGAGTTCAGTGACAGCAAGTGGTAGAGACAGACTCAAACTCAGATAGATTTATTCCAAAAGCCTATCTTCTCATCTTCTCAATCTGTACAGTAACCTGTCTCCTTTGTCCTTTTTTTATTTCTTGCTCACAGATGGTGATCCGTATCAGTTTCATCAAGTTACTTAAACATTTAAAGACGGACGTGAATCCAGTTGAAACTTCAAACCACTATTTTCAACTAAATAAATTTTCAGCAACTATCAAACTAGTGTTCCTTTCCCCCAAGTAAATATGGAATCTTTCAAAGCTTTAGGATGGCCTTATATTCATCTGCATGTCCTCAGTGTTAGCAAAATGAAAAACTGCAAAGCCCTAAAGAGATCTCCAAAAATTTAAAAACATGATTTAATACTTAAAGGTGACATCATTTATTGCCACCCACAGAAATCGAATCATTACACACAAGTGCAAAATTAGTTGGAGTAAAGCTTCTATTTCACATACAACTGCATGATCCCAAGAACAAATGATCCTTTGACATTGGCACAGCCTGGGAACTCGGAGCAGCAAGGGTCTGACTTGGAGTTTAGTGCAGAGAATGGTCACTAGGGGGCGCCTTTGGGCTCCACGTCCGTGGAAAGCGGAAGAAGGATTTGGCCCTGCGAGAAATGCAAGTCCCCTGAAGCCCTTCTGATCCCACAAGAAATTTTGGGGTTTAAATGGCCCATTTGACTTACCCTTCATTAGATTAAAAGGGCCCGGCTCTTTGTACCACAGCCTCCATCTGTCACTTGATGTGGCCCACGTTGGGACACTGAACTCCAATGAGGCAGCCCTCCTCACGGAGGCCAACCTAAGTGCTAACCAGTGAAGGCTGTTTGATGACAACACTCCCAGCAGCTGGGACAAGTCCTTTCTGGAACACATTTTGCAGAGAAAGGAAAGGCTATTGTACATGGAGAGAGCCAAGGAGGGAATATGGAAAAAATCTAGAAATGACGTGTGTCAACCTGCTTCCTTCCATCACTAATCACGAAGCCATAGGGCCATTCACTGCCACATTACATGGGAAAACAGCATAAGGCCCCAAGGTAAGAACTTCCTGGGCCCCTCTCTCCAAGATATAGCTTAATTGAATAATCAAATATCACACATAAAGCTCTGATTTTAGAAAGTACTCAGTAAACATTAGATAGGATAGGGGGTTGAATGGTAGCCCCCTAAAAAGACATCCTAGAAGCTGTGGATGTGACCTTATCTGGAAAGAGGGCCATATGGGTGTAAGTTAGGGATCTTGAGATGTGATAATCCTGGATAATGGGGTGGGCCTAAATTAATGGCAAATGTCCATATAAGGTGGGGCTTCCCAGGTGGCTCAGTGGTAAAGAATATGCCTGCCAATGCAAGAACACACAGGAGGCATGGGTTTTATCCCTGGTTTAGGAAGATCCCATGGAGGAGGAAATGGCAACCCACTGCAGTATTCTTGCCTGGAAAATCCCATGGACAGAGCCTGCCAGGCTACTGAGCACATACACACATCTTTATAAGAGATAGAAGGACAGTAACAGACACATGTAAACATGGAGACCGAGACTGGAGTGATGCATCCCCAAGTAGAGAATACCTTGAAGCTGGAAGAAGCAAAGAACATTCTCTCCTAGTGCCCCAGAGAAGTGCAGCCCGGCAAACACCTGGTTCTCGGACTTCGGGACTCCCCCGTGGTTTTAAACCACCCAGTTTGTTGTAGTGGGTCCCAGCAGCTGTAGGACACTAGAGAGTATTATACATCGAGCAAGCACATGCCAGGCACTCTTAGTGCATTATCTCATATAAGCCACACAACATTCCTATGAGGTGAAGACCACTGTTATCTCCACTTACAGACAAGGAAATGGGACCAGAAGGGTCAGTTATCATCGTGTTCAAGGTCACACATCCAGGCAGTGTGAAGATGGAATTTGATGTCACACACTGCACTGCCCCTAAAATCTTCTTTACAAAGTCCTCTCTCCTACAAGGGCTGCTTAGACCGCAGGCTGGCAAAGCGACCTAACCTGTGGGCTCTGTGGCTACGAGCCTCACCTCACCCAAGCCTCAGGCAGCCTCCTGCTCTTTGCTACGCTGTCTACATCTCTGTCTCTGAGTCTCTGGGGGTCTCTGAATAGGCTCACCTCTGCCTCTCACGCCCACTTGACACTCAGCATTTTGCTACCTTACTTTCACATTGTCTCTCTCTCCGCACACACACACAAACATGTCCCTACTTATTGCACACCATCAGGTTGAAAATGAGCTGATAAAATAATTCCAGGCTCTGTGGCTTGTCCTGCCAGTGACCTTCATTGCATTCCAGCAGGAGGTGTCTGGGGGCTCTGCCCCGAGGCTGGTTGGCGGTATTGTTGCTTCCTGCCCAGCACCAGCTGCCTCTCACCACGACAAGCAGTCACGTGTCTGCTATGGGTCTGAATCATCATCCACTGTGAGGGACCAAGGCCCAAGTTAACCAGTTATTACAAATCTCCTCTTATTACAAAATATATATCCCACTTAAATTGCTGCACTCGAATGAACTGAACTATAAAGCAGATATTTCCTTCAGAGTGAGCATTTAAAAGAAAATAGATACTAAAATAAATACTTTCTCTCCATCATTAATCTTTAATTCACCA